ATATATATATATATATATATATATATATATATAAACATATATTTAAGGATATATATATAATTATATATATATATATAAACATATATTATATTATATATATATATGTATATACTTTCCATAATTAATTATTAATTAATTAAATCATAAATACATATATATATCCTTAAATATATATCTATATATATATATATCCTTCCATAACACTTATTAATTAATTTTATATATATATATTTATAGTTATACAAAAATGATCATTTAAATAATCACCTAACCATGGGCCTTTATTAATTAAGCCAATAAGGTTTCATTCAAGCCCAATACCACATCTTTTGGTCCAACTTTCCTTAAGCCCAAATACAAATAATTTAAATAAATTAAATAATTAAATAAATATTTAAATTAAAATAACTAATTATATGAAGCACGTAAACAAAATAAGAAATTACAACCAAGTCATACCATACCAATAAAATCAACACACCAATAATTCAATCAATAATCAAACACATACACAACAATCATCATATCAATTCAACAAATATAATCATGCAAATATAATCTAATTAAAATAAGGTAATTAATCTAAGAACTCAATTAAATAAAACAAATCATTTAAAAATAAAATAAAAGTAATTAATCCTAATTAAATCAAACAAATCATTTAAAAATAAAATAAAAGTAATTAATCCCAATTAATAAATCTTTTAAATATCAGCGTATTACACATGGTTACTATTCATCCTTTTTTTTTTTTTAGAACCGTGCAGACTGTTTTGAAACTTCCGGGGGTCTATAGGGCATATTTGAGGATTGCATTATCAATTTAAGTCTTAGGAAAACCTTCTAAAGTCCCATTTCCATCTATTTGGCAGCATCTTAGCCTTTGGCGAGCGCCTGCAGCTTTTGGCGTCTGCCCACAATGCAATGAAAACCTCCAAGTTTGACAGCTTTGCATCCCGATTTTGTAACAACCATAACTTACTCATTTTAAGTCCAAATTAGTTGATTCTTGAGTCTAAATTCAAGGATTTTGAGTTAGCTTTCCAATGGGGCTAACCTTATTTTTGGATACATTTCCTAAAAAAAGATACGACCATTTAAGTGGGACAGTGTCGAGATTAGTTCGAACTGGGTTAAGGTTTACGTGGGATTTCACCTCCAATAACCTTAGAACTTTATATAACGTTACCATATGATAAAATGACCATTTTACCCCTGTTTTGGTTTTCGGTTCATTTCTGTCTTAGCTTCCGCTTTCATTTCCTTTTTAAGTCTCGTGATTTCTTGAAAGGTCACTTTGATGTCTTAGAGATGGTATTCATCTCTATAGACCTCTTCTCTTTTCTTGCTTCCGCATTTGGGATTCGTTATCGGGTCAGTTTTCGGGTCACTCGCTGACGCACCAGATTCTAGGAATTTAGGCCGTTATATTTGACCTAACTACAAGTAAATTAAAGGTTTGTTATTTTTTTTGCAAAGACCCCCTCTTGACAGATTTGAGGGTTTTTTAGGTGAATTTACTCAACTACCCTTATTATTATATTGTTAAAAAGGTTTAAATATTTGAAAATAACACATGAGCATTTTGCCTATGATACCTTTTTTTTTCCCCTTCCTCTAATCCTATTTTCTCTCTTCTCAATCCATCCGTTCTCTCTCTTCCTCCTCCTACTCTAAGTCACACAATCCTTATCAACATGAGTCGTTCTTATGCTTCAAGCGCGCTCTCGCTCTCACGTTCTACACGCATTCTTGCTCAAATTCTCACTGCTTATGATTTAATTCTGCCGCTTTTACACTCCACCTATCGAATTCGCTCTCACGCCCGCTCCCGCTTTATGCCCCAACCACGGCCCCTCCTCCCACCACTACTTTCACCAAATCACCCCCAACAATCACCACCGCCCACCTTACCCTCAAATTGCCAACACCACTCAACCTTCTACCACCACCACTAAGTTGCCCATCTCAAACTGAACCACTGGCCAGCGAGATTCAGGTCACCGGCGAGGTCAGAATACCACCGTCAGAGGCACCGATTACGATTCCAATGCCAGTGTTCGCCAGTGCTTTGATGATTGTGGGATGGTAGTCAACTTGATCAGTTTTCAACTGAATTTTTCGATGGTAGTGGATTGGCTAGTTTCACTATCGATTGCGACGATGAAAGGTTGTCACCGATATGGCCGTAGTTAACGCCGATGAACGACTGCTAAGAAGCACAATTTTAGAAAAAGTTAAAACATTCAATTTTTTTGATGGAGGAGAAAAGAATGTTTTGATAAATTTACAGCAGGTGTATGAGTTGATAAAAACACCTGCCTAAATAATAAGATTAAGAAGCACAATTTTAGAAAAGTTAAATATTCGATTAACTTAATGTCAATTGTGGACTTTGTATTTTTCTGATATACTTTTCAACATTTACTTTTTGCAGCATAAAATTCAAAATAAAATCATTGATGATGAGTTAAAGGTGGTTCATTCAGGAAATGAAGAGTACAGGACAGCTAAACATCTAAAGGATTTATACAAGGACTTTGTGGATAAAAAAAAGTGACTTCACAGGAGGTTAGCTTTGGAGGAAAGGAAGATCTTGCATTTGAAAGATTAAACATTAGCTCTAGTGGGTTTGTTAACACATGAGTAAGGAATTGGACTTATTATACTACTTATAGTAATTAGTCATAATTGATGACACATAACATTTAAAGCTAATTTTTATATGTGTGATATATGACTGGTATCAACTCAAAATGTCATGTAATGTAACAATATAGTGGTGGGAGGTCAATAATGGAAATAAATCGAGAAGTTCAGCTCATTTACCTTAAACAGAAAGCCTTTCATATTGTTCTTATCGGTGAGAAACTATTACATAATCCTGGGACCAATGTCCCGGACCAATCATGTGCTGACACATAAGCAAATGTGTCATCTTTTTGTTAGTTTTATCTCACTTTTTGCCTATGTGTCTGCACGCGATTCGCTTGGACCATGTAATAATTTCTCATTATAGGTTGGGTCTCTGAGCTTCTTAAATGAAGGCGTGCAATTTTATTTTATTTTGAATTTGAGATGTTGTATATAACTATCTAAAGAAAGAGATATGGTATATGGCTATCTAAAGAAAGAGATATGATACCTTTGCAAGTACAATGTACACTTGCCATTTCTGCATAGTTTATTGGTCGATTTTTCACTTGCTATCTTTTTGGATATATTTAGTTTAGAAATATAAAGATGTAGAATGGAAATTATCCAATAAAGAAGCACCTAATTTTGCTTGGATACATAGCAATAGGTTTTATATTATTGTCCTTTGAGCATGTTAACATCAATAATATTAGTATTAATGCCCTTGTTTTCTTCATGTTTATAGATTGACCAGGATGTTCTCCGAGTTGCAAAGGATCTAGTTTAGTTTGTAATCACAGGGATGGAGTTCCAAATATTGGCCTACTTGCATTTTGTAGCTTAACACTGTGGTTTCAATGTTATAGCTAGTTAGCATGGCATGTTATAGCTTGTATGGCATGAGGACATGAGTGGATGATACCCTATTCACTTAAGCAGAAAACTCATTGGTGTTAGCAAGACACATTTTTTCCTAGTCTCTACACATTCCCTTCATAGCTATTTGATTAAATGGTGTGATGGAAATGACACTTTCTTCAATTTTTTTTTTTTTTTAATCCGGACAAACTAGGGAATTTTTTTAATCCTGACAAACTAGGGAAACCCGCTCAAGTAACTGGGCACTCTACCAACTAGGCCACTGAGTAATGGCAATGAATGTGAACTTATTTGATTGCTTCTTCTACTTGACCAAAACTTCTTCCAGCAAGCAAAAATTCTGATCCAATCCTTAACACCTGCTCTGTTTAGTAGCTACGGACATCATAATCACTGCATACTAGCTAACTAAACAGCCAACACAAGTTCAACATTGATCTTGACTTGGCTAGCATGGCCACGATGGACTCAAATATTAGTTTATACTTTACAATAGTGATCTCCCACTTTAAAAAAGAAAAAAAAAATTACACATGGTTTTGCAAAGTCATCACTTGGATGGAGATAAAAGTTGCAAATGATACTTTAAGAGAAAAGCTAGGTGTGACATTCATTAAGGAAAAAAAATAAGAGACTCAGAGATATTGCGTGAGGCGAGGAGGAAATTTAATTATTGAAAGGTAATAGAAAAGAATGTGGTAGGTTTTAGGATGTTAACTTGCGCTTGGGGGTTTGTGGTTCCTTTCAAGTCAACAACTGAATATATTTGACATTTTATTAATAGATATCTAATTTTTATACTTTGCATGTTTATATACATATATAGTAAATGCTTGTATTGATTGACTCTAGAGTTGAATCACACTCTTTTGGCAATACTAATGATTTAAGTGCATCTACAATGGTTTATTTAATATGTGGTGAACCAGTTCAATTCAGATTGTTATTGAGATTTTTTTGTAATATTTAATACACTTTTGTGGAACTATTTTCTTAATTGAAGAGTCTGAGTTGAATTGGTCCACCAAGTCTCAATGAATTAGGATCATCTAATAATTTTTCGCATAAAAGAGTCGCATCCTTGAAATATAGAAAGCCTATTACATGGTCCTGAGACCATTGATCTCGGCCAATCACAAAGCGACATATAAGCAAAAAGCTTATTAATAATGACATAAAACTTGCACATTTGTTTATGTCGTTTCGTGATTGAATGGACCAAAAAGTTTATTGACAATAACATAAAATTGACGCATTTAGAGAAGACGCGATTTGTGAGTTTTATTTTTATTTTTATTTTTTTATATGTAGGATCCACTACTTCGAGAAAGAGAGGTAAAGGAAGGAATTAATGCAATGGGCCTAACCTAGCCCAAACCACTCGCCACAAGACACGCCCTACTGCAGCGAGTTAGGTCAATTATTTTAAGTGTTATTGCCTCTTTAAAGTGTAGATATGGTGGTGCTCTCTCTCTTCATAAAGGTATCCGTAAGTCTGCAACTTCTCTTAAGCATTGTGTTAATTTCTTCATTGATTATCCATTTGCTTGCAACAATTTAAGGGCTTCGTTTCATTCCCAAACTGGTAGTCAAACCCAATTTATGTAGACAGTCAAAAATCAATTCAGATTTGAGTTCACAAACCTTAATGATGCACTGGCAATGTTTAATGAAATATCTCAAATGCAACCTCTTCCTTCAATTGTGCATTTTACTAAATTGTTAGGGGCCATTGTGAGAATGAAACATTACACCACTGCTATTTCTTTGCTTAAGCAAATGGAATCCTCAAGAACGGTAGAGTCAAACGAGTATACTCTAGGCATCTCAATGAATTGTTACTGCCATTTGAATCGGATCGATTTGGCTTTCTCTGCTCTGGGGAGAACTTTGAAGCTTGGTTATGAAGTGAACAGTGTGATGCTCATGCCCCACTACATTTCATCATTTTCATTCATATTATTGAATGAAATGGTGAACCAAAAAATCAACACTTTGATGAGGGGGCTCTGTACCGAGGATAAAATAGGTCAGGCAGTAAAGTTGTTTAATGACATGGGGGCAAAAGGATTTCGACATAATATACTTACTTGCGGAACGATTATAGATGGTTTGTGCAAAACGTGGAACACTAGCGCGGCTATTGAGTTGGTTAAGAAGATGGAAGAGAGAAATTGGGAAACCAATGTCATTGTCTATAACATGATCATTGACAGTCTTTGTAAGGACAGATTGGTAGCTGAGGCCTTTGACTTCTTTTCAGAAATGATACATAAAGGCATTTCTCCAGATGTTATTACTTACACCTCCTTAATCTTTGGCGTATGCAATTCAAACCAGTGGAAAGAGGCTAAAAGATTATTGAATGAAATGGTGAACCAAAAAATCAAACCGGATGTAAGAATCTTCACTATATTGGTGGATGCACTTTGCAAGGAAGGGAAGCTTGCAGAAGCAGTAGAAATAGTTGAAGTGATGATGCAAAAAGGTGTGAAGCCTGATACAGTCACTTACAATGCACTGATGAACGGTTCTTGTTTGCAAAGGAAAATTCACGAGGCAAAGAAGATATTTGATTTGATGGTTGGTAGGGGTTGTGCCCCTAATATTCAAAGCTATACCATCTTGATTAATGGATATTGTAAGAAGCAAAGAATGGATGATGCTCTCAGACTTTTTCAGGAAATTTCCCGGATGAGATTGATTCCTAATCCTGTTACTTACAATACTCTTATAGGTGGTTTCTGTCATGTAGGAAAACCTCTAGTTGTGCAACAACTTTTAAATGAGATGCGAGCCCGTGGCCAACATCCTAATGTTATAACGTACAATACTTTGTTAGATGGATTGTGTAAGAACCAATGTCTGGCTGAGGCAATGACCTTGTTTCGAGACATGGAAGAAAGTGGACTGCATCCTAATATTGTGGTTTACAGCATCCTCATTGATGGTATATGCAGAGCTGGAAGCATTAAAGATGCAAAGGAACTCTTTTATAGTCTTCCTTCCAAAAGGTTGCAACCTAATGTTCACACATATAGTATTATGATCAATGGACTTTGTAAGGAAGGGTTGTTAATTGAAGCAAACATTTTGCTCAGGAAAATGGAAGGGAGTGGTTGCTCACCCAATGGTTGCACTTACAATATAATTGTGCAGGGATTTCTTCGAAACAACGAGACGTTAATGGCAATGCAACTTCTTCAAGAAATGGTTGAGAAGGGGTTCTCTGCCGATTCATGTACTGTGAGCCTTCTATTGGATTTACCAAATAATAGTGGATTAGATCAGTCGATTTTAGAGATGCTCAATAGGTTTCTATAATCTCTATTGGGGTTTCTTATGTTAGGTGGAAGAGTCATAGTTGTTGGCCTTGTAGTGTGCTATATGTATGGCCTATTGATGCTTGTATCAGTGTCTTCTACATGTTTTGGGGGTGAAATTGTTGTTCCATGAGAAGAACGAAGGAGGGAACCTGAGTTGGGTGATGTTGGGGAACTAAAAAAGAATGCTGGAGGGATTTGTATGTAACCGATTGACTAGATGGGATAAGGAAGGTGGCTAGGTGAATCTGAAGATAGCAAAATTGCTGCTGAAGCAGATGGGAATGGTGTTTCAATGACCCCAAAGAGATACGAGTTTCCAAGCTTTGAAATTTACCAAAGACTCTGTGCTTATCATCTTTGCCTTTGTCTGTCAGGATGTTTCAAGAATGGTACCTCATCAACTTCATTTTCCTTTTTTGTTTACACTTTGTACTATGAGGGTATGCTGTCCTTACTTTTCCTCTTAATTGCTTGATGTTAATAAACTTATTCTCATTACCAACACTTTCGAATCCATCAAATATTTCTGTTGCATCTTCACTTTCCTTCTAATTGTTCTGATTTACCCATTGCACTGACACAATAACTGATTCCTCATCTCTTAGCTTGCAAAGGATTCCTCCTTTGGTCTGTAAGGTAGAGTGAGTTTCTGGAAGAGTTGATGCCTCCTTTGGTCTGTATCAAACCCTTATAACAATGACAATATTGAAAACATTTCATCCGGTAAGTTTGTATTCAAATTTTATTAGTGAGGTTCAAGTTTACTGTGTCAAAGAACCCTTACAACAATGACAATGTTGGAAACATATCGTTGGTTAGTTTGCATTTGAATTTTATTTTTTGTATTTTTAAAATTTTGATAAATTTTTAATATCTATATTAATTGTTTTGTTTTGTTTTCCTAGGAGTGTGGTAGGGCTATTGTGGATATTGTCTTCCAGTGTTATAAAACATGTTATTTGTATATTGAGCTAATCTGTAGTTCTTCATGTAAACAAAATTGAAGTGGTTGGGAAGCAGCACAAAGAAATACATTGACGTCCAAAATTAATGTTGGACAATCTCATATATGTAAGGATAAAAATGATGATGATGATGGAAAATTTTAACATATTTGAAGCACTTGATTTGGATCTGGACAATCTTAATGATCTTCTAACTATGCTGATCGTGAAGAAAATTGGAAAATTATATATTAGAGTCAACAAATAAAAGTTCTCATGATAATATGTTAATATGAATGTATTTATTTATTTATTATTTTTTTTTTTTCTAATCAGAACAACACATATGTATGTATATTAAGAAGCAGAGGTGGATAAATCCTCTTAAAATACATCAAGAAGCCAACCTGGCCAATTTTGCCAATGCAAATCCATATTCTCCATAAAAGACATTCAATATCTTGAACAATGTATACTTTCGTCATTTTTATCCTGAATTTTTAATGTTTTCAAATAAAAAATCAGATTATATTCATTCATTTATAAATGTATTTTTTCCACACCGTATGTTACCAAGTATGATAAATCGACCATGTTAGCTAAACAACACATAAATATCATCAATAGTCTACAATTAGCAACAAATATAAATATCATCTGTACTAGTCTACGTTGCAAGTTGGTTATTTTCAATTTCATTCACATATTTAAAATTCATATTGTTATGCATGTCGTGTTTATAGTATACTCCAAGAGATTAGTAATCGTGGATCTATTGTTGCAACCATTCCTGTTGGTGATTCACTCTCTTTATCTATTTCTTCAAGAGGAGTACATGAAGAAAGTAAGGGCATGCCCTCACATTACATTACAAGCCTCACACATGTAGTACAGAAAACCCACTTCTAATACAGAGAGAAGATAAGGTTGAGGAGGTCTTTCATGTAAAGAATAAACTGCTTACGAAAAAATAAGCTGCTGCATCATGTAAAGAATAAGCTGCTGCTCAGGAGGTCTTTCAACCTCCTGAGCAGACATTTGGATCCCTTGGTGTAGCCTATAGTTCCTCTCCCCCCATAAAGCTCAGATGGCAGCTGAGAATATCATCCTGCTCAAGTTGGACCTATGAGAATCAGCACCAAATTCGTCAATACACCAATGCGCTAAGCTGTCTAACGAGACACACCCATGCATATTCCAATGCATCACCTCAGCAAACCATCACCAAAATTGTCATGCAAATGAACACTCAAAGAAAAGGTGCTCGAAATCATCAGCATGTACTAAGCAATTCATGCATGTAGGTGCTAAGCTTATGCCTCTTTTCTGCAGGTTGCAAAAAGTATGGGTTTGTTTTGCAATGCAAGACAAGTAGTGACGCTGGTTCTCGACCTCCCTTTGTTCCAACACAAAACACCCCAAGGAATGTGAATTTGCCCACTGCAGGCATTCCATATCATTGTGCAACTGTATTAAGGTAATGACACTCTGAGCTTGCTGCATGTTGGAGCTCTCTAGTTGCCAAGACCTATTGTTAATAAATCAGTCACATTCAGGGAGGCATATCTAGGAAATTGGAATTGTCCCACACACCTGTGTCCAAATTTTTGTAGGAGAGTGCCACCGTCACACCAAGTATCATTAAACAAGCTGATTGAATCACCAAAAGAGATTTTATAGGTAACATGCTTCTGCATTTCCTCTCTGACAGAGACCAAGTGTTTCCAAGTTGTAGAGTGATATGATGAAGGAATGGCTAGCCAATAAGAAGACCCTTTGATGTACCTGGAGTGAAACCATGAGATCCAGGTTTTATCTTTTCTGAATAACAAGTCCCACACATGACAGCAGGAGAATGCCTTCTGAATATCACTACTCTTTCTGATGCCAAACCCACCTTCAGCCTTAGGTTTACATACCCTATCCCATTCCAGATAATAAGATCTTCTGACCAGATCCGTTCCACCCCATAAGAATCTTTTAACTTTCTTTTAAATGGAATGCAGTGTAGCAATAGGAAGATGAAACACTGAGCACCAATAGGAGATTGTGAGAGTAACCGCAGATTTGATGAGCTCACTTCTACCAGCTAAGGAGAGGTTTTTGTTGGTCCAAGCATTTAGTCTGGAATCCACCTTATCTATTAGATCAGTGCAGTGAATTCTCTTCAATCCCACACGATGCAGAGGTAGGCCAAGGTATTTAAGAGGAAAGACTCCTTGCCTGAACTGGAAGATGTTCAAAATACTCCTTTTTCTTCTAACAGCCTTTGAGAAGAAGAGGGATATTTTTTCCTTGTTACCTGTAAGGCCTGAGGCAACTTGAAAGGCATCCAATTCTTTCTTAACACTAAGAGCAATCCTCAAGTCTGCTGAAGTAACAACGAGAAGGTCGTCTGCAAAAAGTAAATGACACACACAGGAATGAGCACTTCTAGCAGCAGATCGAGGAGGGATTAATAGTACCTACATTGACCTGTTCTTCCAACGACCCAGACAGATATTCACCAACAAGGGTGAACAACAAAGGAGAAATTGGGCAGCCCTGTCTCAAGCCTTTCTTAGTTCTGAAATACCCTCGAGGAGATCCATTGATAAGAATAGAAAGCCATGAAGATGGCAGGCATTCCCTAATCCAGTTCACCCATTAAGGCCCAAATCCAAACCTGCACAACAATTAGAATAGGAACTCCCAAAGAGACAGTGTCATAGGCCTTAGCAAGATCAATTTTCAGAGCCATATCAACATGTCTGGATGATGAAAATCTGATAAGCGCCGAATATTACATATTCAAGCGCCCTTTCTTGCATTAATTAAGTCCATTATTAGAGGATAATGTACAGTTTTAATTCATTTGTGTTTTTCTTTCTGATTTCAGGTATTTTTCCTGAGAATGATCAAAGAAGCAGTTTTGACATCACTTGTGTTGAAACTCGTGCGCCGTGCCTGGGAGTCATCTTTTGGACCGAACCTCTTATGTTGCAGTTTTTGTGAAGCCATGGCTTAGTGTTCATTATGCTTCTGAGATGGAAGCATGTACAAGATCCTGTTTGAGGAAGCTTACAAGAAGCTTGGTCAAAGTTGCAAAAGGGCAAGCTCTCGCGGGCACCCGCCGCGTCACCGCGGGCGTCCGCCAATCCCCTCTCCTCTCTGCCAACTTTCGTGGGCCATTCCTCAGTGCCCGCGGAAGCCCCCGCGAGCCACCGAGGGCACCTGCCGCGCCATCGCGAGCACCCGCTAAACACTCCAACATTTCCCTCATGATCCCAAGCCCCCACCGGCGCCTCGCGGGCGCTCGCGGAATTGCAGCAAGTAGTTCAACTACCCCTGATTTTCAACATTTTGGTCCCCTTATCCTTCTTTTGTGTGGTCTATCTTCATGCAGAGGGGGGAGCTCGGGATTTTGAGTATGGGGAGTAGGTTTTGAGTGTATATAGAGGGGAAGCTCATTATTTCTTAGGTTCTAGCTTCCTTGAGGTGCAAAAATGGAGGGTTGACTTGCTTCTTCCTCTTCATTCCTTGCAGTGATGGGTAACTAGACCTCCATCTAAGGAGGTGATGAAGCCTTCCCTTGTAATCATGTTCTAGATTAAGCTCTATTTTGGGGATAATAATGTATAATTTTTGGTCTTTTCATAATCTAGAGCATATTACCTCTTGTAATGAATTCTAATGTCTATAAATGATTGTTGTAAGTCAATTATCTTGTCTTAGATGGTTTCTTATATTAATCATAATGCTTTCATTTTCATGGTGACAATGGAAATAAGATTATGAATGGTTTTCATGGCATGTTGATAGAGAAACTTGATAGTCCATTGCTTAGGTATTCCCTTTGATGATTTATACTTGATTCCTAGCTTCATGTGCTTTATCATTTGATTAAAGGCTTGATGATCTTTTGCTTAAGATAGTATGTTTGATGTTACACCCTAGTTTAGGTAGTTCGAATGTATAAACTTTTGATGGATCATTCTTGTTTTGATTTGATGAACTTTTCGATGATTATAGGGCAACCATGCGTTGCTATATAATTTTTGACCATTATTTATATTGTCTATCCCCAATTTAGTCTTGATCTAGCATGTGTTTAGGGTTTAGTGCGGATTCACTTCCCTAGTTCCCTTTTTAATTGTCTTTGCCTCTTTACTTCTTAGTATTAATGTTTCATGCACTTTTCAATTCATAACTTAGTGACAATCCAACAAATCCTCTATAACCCCCTTTATCATTCTAAAAATGACTCTAGACACCTAAGTTGCAATAAACTAGCAGTCCCAATGGTTTGACTTACCCGACCAATAGCCCTATTTTACAATGATTTGTGCTATTGCAAAAGGGTTGATTTATAAATTATAATCGACTCGTCGATCAAAATCCTCTCACTATCTCATGAGCTAGAATGATAAATGCAGACTGTTCTTTACCTACAAGAAGAGGAATGACATTAGCAAGCCTGTTGGCCATCAACTTGGTAATAATTTGGTAAGATACATTGCACAAGGCTATTGGCCTAAACTCACCAAGCTTAACAGCCCCATGCTTCTTCGAGATGAGGCCTTTTG